TTTTGCGGTTTCTTCAGGTACCTTGGCGGCCTCGGCTAATTTTTTGATCGCGGCGATACCTTTCCAATAGTCCCCGGGGCCGTAGTATATCTTTGCGAGTTTGGCGTCCATATAAGTAAGGCGTAAAAAGTTTAAAGGAACCCGAAGGCCGCGTAGCCCAGAGCGAGAGCGTCGGCGCCAACGAACATGAGTTCACCCTTTTTCTGCTGCTCGCTTGGCTGATAGAAATCTGAGAACTTGGGCTCCTTGGGGGGTACCATCTGTTCGTCAGGATGCGCCTGGTTGTAGAGTTTGAAGGCGTATAGTCTGTGTTGGTGAAGTTCTGCTTGGCCTGCTCCTTTGTTTGCGCGTTAGTCGCGATCCAGTGGAGAAATTGTGTTCGGTCTCGCGTGTATTTGGCGTAAGCCGCTTGATAATCTTTGAGAGCTTTGTCGTGGCACTTTTTTTCTTCAAGCGCGGCTTTGTCGCCCCCGCCAAACGCCCTCGCCAGATAATTACCACCGATAAAAGCCGTAACGTTCAACACAGCCCCGCCAATCATGATCGCGATGCTCGCCATAGCTATATATTATCGGAAGCTTTTTTCAAATCATACCTCTAAGTTATTCATGCTTTCCTTGTATAGTACCAAGTTGTTCGCAATCCAGTCGAGAAGGCCTTCGGGTTCGATCTTGTATTTTTCTTTGGCGTTTTGATACGCCTCGGCGGCTCGCACTTGACAATCTTTCAAAAACTCCGCATCTTCTTTTTTATTCACGTTTGCCACGATCCAGGCGTGGTTGAGAAGTGAATTCTCGAAAAGCTTAAGAAACTCCTTGAGTGTTTCGTCGTAGCTCTTTTCGTTTTCTCTCGCGGATTTCGAAACAGCCTCGTGAACGTCGACGCTTGTAATACTTGCCAAGGCGCAATATAATAGACTTTTTTTTCTTCAAAACAAAAATTTCAAACGCTGTCGGAGAGGATTTTCTGGTCCTCGAGGTACTTTTTGAGCGCAAAGCTGACAGCCATGACGGCGGTGAACTTCACGTAATTCATCGGGCTCCTGCTGGGATCGGAAGTGAAATTCTCTTTCACAACCTTTTTTGCGGCCCAGCCGATACCCGCGGCTAATAACGTGAGAGTTGCGGCGTCAATGACGATCTTGACAAGCTTGTTGTCGGACATGGTGCGTTTGATATAAGTAAAGAACGAAAGTTTAAAACAAAATTAATCTGTCTTTTTTTCCGCTTCCTCTTCTTCTTCTACTGCTTCTTCTCTTCTTCTTAGTATTTCTCCTATTCTTCTTCTTACTTCTTTTTCTATTTTTCTTTGTCTTATTTCTTCTCCGTCCTTATTGTCAAAAGCAGCATTCAAAAATTTGAATGTTGCGATAAGAACATAAGCCTAACAAGGCATACGTGACACCAAAAGTGGTGGTGAAAGAGATGATCGTCTGTTGAATGTTAAGTCCTGGCATCGAGATATACATTACACGCAAAAGTTTAAATCATTTTTTTAAATCCTTTTGGCTGTATCGCGCGAGCGGGTTCTGGCTCAACACGCGCGGGCCCAGGCGCAGGCTCAGGAGTTTTAATTTTGTCGACCGCGTGCTTGGCCATTGCCTTGAGCTCTTCCTGCCATTGGGTGGTGCTAAGGCCGCTATTTTTTTCCTTTGAGCTTTCACCTTCTGTAGTCGGAGCTGGCTCAGGTGGCTCTGTGGCGGCTTTCGCTTTATTTTCCGCGTGATAGGCCTCGGCCGCTTTCTTCTGTTCTTCCCGGGCCAGCCGCGTTCTTTCGGCAACCATTTTTCCAGCAGCCACACGCTTAGGATTTTTTACGCGCTGCGTGGTTGCAGTCGGAGTTGTCGCTTGCTGTGTGATATCGCCGGCAGGTGATGTCTGGGTCTCGACCTGAGGTGCGCTCTCGACTTGTTCGGTTCACATTCTGAAGCAAACTGTATTCTAAGCAGATGAAAAAAGTTCAATTAATTGCATTTTTTTTGTCAGCACTCCCTCAGCAGTTATTGATGAGTGCTGACCGGTTATTCTGCAGTTGCTGANCTATTCTTCTTCTTACTTCTTTTTCTATTTTTCTTTGTCTTATTTCTTCTCCGTCCTTATTGTCAAAAGCTGCATTCAAAAATTTGAATGTTGCGCGAAGAACCTTTCTGTTTAAGTCGAGCAACACGTACGTGACACCAAAAGTGGTGGCGAAAGTGATAATCTTATGTTCAACGTTAAGTCCTGGCATCGTGATATACATTACACTCAAAAGTTTAAATAATTTTTTAAAATCCTTTTGGCTGTGTCGCGCGAGCAGGTTCTGTATCAACACGCGCGGGCTCAGGTGCGGGCTCAGGCGTTTTTTTGCCGACCGCGGTCTTGGCCATAGCCTTGAGCTCTTCACGTTTGTAATAAATCCCGACCAGTGAAACGACTATGCTGCCAACAGCAATCCATTGGGTGGTGCTGAAGCCGCTATTTTTTTCTCCGCTGCTCTTTGGGCTTTCGCCTTCTGTAGTCGGGGCTGGCTCATGGGGCTCTGGGGCGGCTTTCGCTTTATTTTCCGCGTGATAAGCCTCGGCCGCTTTCTTCTGTT